ATTTGGTTTAGTATTTTGGATTTGTTGTATGTTTTATGCTGCTGTCTTGGCCAGGTCACTCTTGGAAAAGAGGTTTTTAACCTCAATGAGTTATTTTTCCTGGTTAAATAAAGGATACATACATACATACAGGTGGATCCTATCAAACTAATTATGTTGTTTTGATGATAATGACTGTGGCTTCCAAATAAACAAGGTGAACACTTGTGCCCACATCACTTTTAGTTCGATTTTATTTGTAGAATTTTTCAAAACACTAAGTAAGAGTAGCATTTTACATTGTCATTGTGCCCTTCATACATATCATTTATCATGTTTAGGTTTGGTCAGGGGCGGCTGGTCCATAGCGGTAGGTGAGGCATAGATAGTCACCCCACAAAGTAGTTCCTCCAGATCACTCATGTAAACACTTACTTAGTTTGTAGTTTATTGTTTTGTTCTGTGTGTTTTCAACTATTTTGATATTTGGAATTTAAAATTCTTTTTAGTGATTACAGTTCAAGGACAAAGTATAATATTCTGCTCCTTGGACACGTTCAGCTGGTTTTAGCGCATTGATATGGTCACTACCTACACCTCATGTAAGCTCATCAAATGCTGTAGTAATAGTTGCAGTGAAACCTGCTGAGTCTAACAGTGGAGATATTCTGTTTAAATCCATTTGGAACCAGAACAGAAAACCCAAGAGGATAGAAGAAAAACAAAAAACTGGACATTTTCACCATCATGGTAGGATCTTAACCAGTTCTGTGGCCTCCATGAATGTGTGGCTGTGGAAGGTCAATGGTTCAAACAGCGGTCATAAAAGCTTGGATCTAAATGAAAGGGGTGATGATGTATACCATTATTATTTCTTTACTTTGATATTTTTTAGTCTTATTTCACATAACTATTCCCCCCCACACACACACATTTAACTGTGTTGATCTGGAATATTATTTCAGAATTATTACTTCAAATCAAATTAGAAATTAACTACAAAAAGCTGTGTACCTGTCTTTGTTATACACTGATAAAATACAATACCCCAGTTTCAGATGGGGATGGATGTAGGTATGGAAGTCATCCATTTCTCTGATTTTAATTATTTGTGAGGATCTTACAAATACCCAGAATAGTTGTGACCGAAAGAGCAACTCCAAGACACATATGAAATTTATAGTGTTTATTTACAACTGTGAATAAGTTGTTGTACTGTGAATAACGGGAGTGGTGGCGCAGAGGTTGGAGAAGGTGGACTATGATTGGAAGATCGCCGGTTTAACTCCCAGTAGCTACAACATCAAAAAAATATGAGTGTGATAGGTGAAGCACCCACACCTGCCTCCACCCTCATTTGCCCCACTCTGGGCCCTTGAGCAAGGCCCTTAACCCCCAT